GGGCGTCTGCAGGGACGGGGCCGCCCTGAGAGACTAAGGGGTCCCCGCGCTGGGGAGGTGGTTTGTCACGGGGGGAAAGAGCCTGAGATAGAGGGTTGTGGCTGCAGGGGAAGGAGGGGGCGCAGGGAGGGACAGAGCCCTGTGAACTGCTGGCCCTGGACACCCTGATCAGACAGGACAAGAATTTCAGGTGCAGCTCAGAAACCACAAGACCGACACTGAAGTACGAGCCAAATTAGCATCCTCTTCATAATTCTAAACAGAACACAACCCTCCAAAAATCAGCCGAGGCTGCACTGTCTGGGAGCGGTGTAAGATCACGTGGGACCCAGAGTGCCTCCAGTCCGTGCTAGCACCCCTCAGGTACAACTTGGTGCTCTGTTGCTGAACCATCCCCACCCTCTGGGACACGGTCTCAATGAAAAAAAGCCCCAAACCTTGTTTTCTCCGTGGTCTGTACTGCTGAGCTGGCACGTCTCTGTTCGGGGGCAAGGAGCCGAACAGCAAAATGGCACCAGGTCTGGGTGTTCACAGCCAACTACACAAACTCCAGCACGTTAACAGAACAGAGTAGGCTCATGTCTTCGTTGGAGTTACCTCTGACAGCTCTGTTCAGGTGCTAACAGGTAATGCCTTCACTTTAAATTCCCAATTTTCTAGTAATATTTTAGAATTAGAACAGCTAATACTGAGAATTAATTACCTTTAAGCACTGCCCTGAAAATACCATGGAAATAAAAACCAGTATCTCACATTTCCAGAAAACTACTCAATCCGGAGTTTATTCACACATCAAACAAAACAAAACGAAGATTTAAATCTATAAGGATGCAAAGAATAGAGAGCAGTAGTTTAACATTTTATTGAACGGGTGGTGCTTTATGTGCTGTTTTTAGTGAATCAATGAAAAAAAATTGTACCTCATATGTCCCTATTTATTCATCCCATAATCAAATTGCACGGTAGCAATTTTGTGCAGTCCTTTAAGTCAGGAAACTGATTTCATAATTCAGTTTCCTGCAATAAACTATTTTACACCAAAGTACATACACAAAGTATAACGTGAAAGTGGATGGAGGGCGTTAATACATGCTCCATGCAGTGCCACAGAAAGGCAGTTCTAAAGGAGTCGCTGAGGTCTGGTGAGCGATGGGTGTTAGCACGACCAGCGCTGGTGCAGCTCTGGTTTCAACACGGCCTTGCAGGGCACCGTGCAAACATATTCCACGAGAAAAACGTATTTGCTGACGGCAAAATCGGCTGTAAGACGGGTCAGGGAACAGCTCCCTGGCCATTAGAGGCTTCCTCCTTCAAACACGACCTTGACATCCATCACCTTTCCCAAATCTGATCGCGTTTTCCCACATCCAAGTCTTTAGAAAGAAACATGCCTAGCAAGTATCAGCGTATATTGAACTTTACGTGAAGTGGCATTGCCAAATTGGCCCTCGAGTATTTCAAACCTGTTGATCCCAGACCAGTAAGGACAGGCAAACACAGAGCTGCCAGTTACTTAAGAAGTTTTGGCACAGTTAGAGTAGGAACTGTAATTTCTTTAAAAATTGGCACATAGTTTGGGTTTGGTTGGCTTGGGCCTTGATCCAAAGTCTCGATGATAGTCTGCTTCATGTCTCTGCTGGCATCGCCTCTCACCGTCAGCAAAGCTGCGATGTGGTCATCCCTGCCAAAGGGAAAGGGTAGAACTGGCATTAGGGGGAAACTTTGCACAAGTAAGATTTTGTCAGAAATATCATCACTTAGCTGGCAATCCCGCCACTCAGCTTCAGCACGTGCTTTAGCTCTTCATCAGATCTCTAGTCACTCACAACTGGCTTTTCCAGCTCAATATAAAGCACTACTTTGGCTGCTCTTAAGATGCTAAAATCTATTTTATCCTCCCAAAACACAGAATGGAAGGATTTTCATTATTCCTTTGCTATACCACTGAGTACATCAGTGCATGTGCCTCCTAGTCCAGCTCACATACCTTTTATATTTATATATATTACTATTTTTCATAAGAAAGTGGCTACATTCTAAAGTATGAAAAATACGAGCACATTTACACACTGTTTTAAAATTCGCCCCAGACTACAACAACTATGATGCTATCTATCTTAATTTTGAGGGCAAAGAGAATTACCTGATATCTGGGTATTTACTGACTAAAGTTGAAACTTCCAGATAGAGCAGCGAAGGATCAGTTAGCTTGATAACCTCGGCAATGGCTTCAATGATGTCACAGAGTCCTTCAGTGTCCTCTCCAGAGCCCTGCAAGATGAAAAGTAAACAAATAATACAAATCCCCCAAAGAAAAGCAATCCCCACTCAATATCTATCAACAATCCTTTAATTAGCATTTTGTCCAACAATGCTCTTGAATTCCCCACAGACCTGAATTTTCAGACATTAAGAAAACAAAATACTTGTGAATTGTCACCATAAGCCTTTGCCCTCTTCTTCATCCAGAGACCTGCCCTCAGAATATCAGCAAAGAAAGGCATGTCTTAAATACCACACATCGTCTGTATCCACATGGTGACAGGTTCCAGCCTTTAACTTTTGCTAATGTGCCAGCACAAACATTAGGAATAGCTTTTGTTTTCATAGATTTCTCTTGAAACGTTACTCAAAAACTGGGCCCCGACCTTCTAGTCATCTGGCCACCACGGCAGCTTTCAACAACTGATCAACTGAACTGTAATTCCTATTTAATCCCTGGACTATTTTAGCGCTCTTAATTCCAGGTCATCTGCTCCTGCCAATGTGGTATTGTTCATTTAATTTATCCCATAACCTCTTCTGTCCGTGCCTTAATCCCAAACAGATCTTACACAGAATCCCACAAAACGAAGGACTCTGATGCAGGAGTTGCCCCAACATCTTCCACAGTGAGCAGAGATGAACGCTGCCCCTTCCCCACCCCCCCAGGTTTTCAGGCTTTCTCTTTCTCTGCCTTCTTTTTGCATTTTGTCACCCCTTGGCCCTCTTTCCGGCAGACTCCTGCTCCTTATGCAGTTAAAAAAAGCTATTTCAGTGTTCGTTTTAGGCCTGTCTTGTACATTGTTTCTCAAACACCTTCTCTGGCCTGTCTTTTCCATTTCTGCTGCACTTCAAAGTACTTGCTGATCCTAAACGAACACACTGCATGCTACTCGGGTAATAAGTAACTGCATCTGTTTGATGCGGTATCGTCCTTTCTTCCAGCCAGGAAAAGCAAATCCCAATTATTTCTTTCTTTAAAGAGACAACTGCTTGCTTCTTTCACTTGCTGCTACGAACTCAGGGTGCCAACCAAATATTCAGCTGCAGAGTGCTGGATGAACGAACACACAGCAGTAGAATCCTGGGCTCAGGAACTTCAGCAGCAGCCCTGGCTGTGTTCAGAAACTCCGTGCCCTCAGCTGGCATCTTCGATACTCACAAGCCACCCAGCATTTTGCAGGCACGGAGATCTGTCTCTAGCCTTTACAGGCAGTAAACACGCGGGGTTGTTCAGGTGAACAGCATCACCCACAGCAAACACTTACAGCTGCAAGCTTCTTGAACAGGAACCGGAACTGTTCTGCTTCTTTAATCATTCTTTCTGCCCCCTCTTTTCTCTCTTCCGCGTTCTTGAAAGAGATACGTTTCAACATGATGGCTCTGATGTATTCCACAACCACTCTCCGATGGGCCTCGATAGTCATGGTCTGAAAGAAAAAGGTGGTGGATTATGCCAGTGATACCTGCCAACGTAGCCATTATTTTATTTTGAGTCTTTGAACAATTATTTGGCTTTGAAATGTGTGTTTGCCATTAATCACCAGTACGCAGCTTTTGCTAATGCTACACATTCTGAGTGGCTTTAGATTTTCACAGAAATGAAACTCTGTCCTTCCCTAATGAGAAGGATGTGCCAATTATGAGAAAGGGAAACAACAAACCCAAGATATCTCTAATGACTCGACCGAGTTATTTTTTGAGGAGCATCAAAGCTAGAAGAACAAACATGAAATAATTTGGATGATCTTCAGAACAAAGCTGTGCTTGGCTTTGCTCTTTATATCTGGGCAAGGGACGACCAGCCATCCATCACAGAGGCTCTGCTGGAAAACTCCAGTGTGTCACATAAAGCACTGCAAGCCTTGCCTGCATTGTCTGGGCTCTGGGTCAAGCCTGGTAAACCTGGAGAGCCCACAGCAACCGCTTTCTCACAGCTTCCCTGACTGATTTGCTGTCCTGCACTTGTCTTTTTATAGGAAATAGCTACTGGTGACTAAGGGAAGCATCTGGTATTGGTGCAAGAGTAATGCTGAGGTTTGAAAATAAGGAACAAAAAACCCAAAACCTTTATATGCTTTTTCAACTCTAATGTGGGATTCAAGGACTCTCCTTACAAGTCCTCAGGTGGGTTTTTTCCCCTAAGCACGGTGGCAAAGTTACTTATGATTAAGGAAAAGCCTGCAATAACAGGTAGTCACAAACTTTTAATCATATTTTATAGTGTATATATATCGCTGAAGTTTGAGTTTCAATCCACATGTTCTTCAGTCAAAATTCTGGAGAAAGGTTTCAGGAAAGAAAAAGAAAAAAGAAAAAGAGAGAGAAAACAACAGACTGCAAAGTATTGGAAGTCACAGCCCTCATCCAGGACAAAGAAAATACGATTTCAAGTCCTGCTCTCAGGACTGTGCAGAAATATCAGAGTTTACTGGTTGTGCAGGGACAGCTTCTCTTGCATTGGTGGACCTGACGCCAGTCACAGAGAGGAAAACTAACTGCACAGAAGAGACTGTGGGAGCCTGACATGTACACCCTGTCCCACTGAAAAGCAAAAACTACAACGGAACACTCCAGAAGAGCCAGCACCCCGATGACAGGGCATTCACTTTACACCCGAGGAAAACAGCCAAGCAGAACGACTGTAGGATCCAGATCCCCCTCGCTCCAGAACAGCGTCCTTCCCACAGGGCTACAGTCTTTTTGCGGGTGCTCTCTTCACGTGGCTTTTTAAAAACTGGATTTTCAAAACAGGGTTAACCAAGAATGTTTTAAAACCAGAAAAAAAAAAATCCCAGCCCAAACCAGGGAAACGAAAGTGTGTCCCATTCAGTGCTAGAACATACGGTATCTGGTGTGGCAGATTTTTTCCGTGCTGGGAGACAGTGGAGTGGCAGGTATGATGAATGCCAAAAAATGCGTTTGTCCTCTTCCTCCCCATAAGGTGGCAATAAGCACTACATGATGAAACACATGTGACTGCAGAGATTGGTATTAACACTTAAAGAAACTCATGCCAAGCTCTGTTACCTCACAGTAACAAACTGTATCTGGGAAAAAGCTGTTCCATGGATATAAATTTGGGACTGACCTCACTTCTTTTGTGTACCTTTTCTGGACTGAAAATGCGTATTACTCACATAATGAGGCCTCTAGGATGCAAATACTGAAGGTTAAGAGGTCATCAGAGGAACTTTGAGCAGTCCCCTCTAAGAGTTAAGGTAAGAAAGACTTAAGTATATGATTTTGAGACTTTTAAGCATTTCTGCTTAGTAAGAGTTTGTTCAAAGACCTCACCTAAATCCTGATCTTCCTAGCTTCAAGCATTTCCGAAATCTTAGGCAATCACTTAAGACGTGCTATCTTAACTACAAAACCTGATTTTAATTCAGTAAAGGATGAAAACAAATACAATAATACTAAAGGTTAAAGGATATCCAGGTATCCTTTGACAGGCCACGGGGGCGGGGGCGAATAAATGACCTAACCTAGCACATCATGCTGCTGTAACAGCGCTTTAAACCCGAGTTATGCATTTGTTAAACCTTATAGCACCGATTTAACTATACCTCATTGTACATATTAAAACCAGGGATTACAGAATGTGTGTTTATTTAAAAAAAAAAAGTAATTGCAGGTCAGCAAAAATAGTTTCTGAAGAGCTGATTTTATCTGACTACAAACTTCTGACGAGAGGCAGAAAAGTACAAGCTGGTAAGAATACAATCTAGTAATACACCAATACATTTTCTGGACTAAATCTGCAACTCTGATCTGTCTTTGACAATATGATATGGCTGTGAACAAAAAAAGATGAGAAGGAAATATTAGATTCAGACTTTTGCAATATGATTATGAACAACTCTTCATTTCCAGTGATGAATCAATTCCAATTTCTGTATTCCAATTGTGAACTCCATTCAATGTTCAGATCTTCCAAACCAACACGATATCCACAGTACATTAGCAAAGTATCATAGAATATTTTGCACCTACCTTTTTATAAGGCTTTTTTATTTTTGCAAAGTCATTGAAATAATCCTCCACGGTGACACAGATAGTCCCCACTGCATTAGAGCCCATCAACCACTTCTTTGTCATCAGCTCATTGAGATGTGGCTGAGAAGGTAACAAACGATTGATCAGAACAAATGTTTGACGCTTCCATCATATCAGTGCAGTTACAAAAAAACCCAACAGAAGACAATCTGAAGTGTCATACATTTCTGACCCACACTCCTTCAAAAGGAACAAGCAGTTAGTGTAGGAAAACGAGGTGATCAGTTGTCGGAGTGACAGCTGCCGCAGAGCGCTACCCTGACACACACTGGGTGCGTCTGCAAACCACCTGCACCAACCTGAGCAATGGTTTCAGGAGTTCTCTAAAACCCTTTGTTATGTTTTTCTATTTAAATGTCTACACTAAATTTAAAAAAATTATGGTCCAAGGACAAAATTGGCCTAAGTGCCGATGATTTTGATTTTAAATATGAAGAACTTTCAAACTGCTGTGATAATACAACTTCACGCTTGATTTCTTGGACTGCTTCTGACTACTCAGTTGTTCCTCTTTGATGGCCACACAAACTTTCTGCGCCTATATGCTTTACTCCTTTCCCAGAACGCCACAATATATAATTCCAGTATTCTCTACATCTACATACCCATCTTGTGTTGTTCTCCCCAGAGGAAAAATCCTTTACATATTAGAGCACAGCATTTCAGAAATGATAACAGTAACATGAAGCTTGAGGTTCATGAATTTCAAAATGGTCATTAAGAGTAGATGGGGTTTCTTCTCACAATGAGCACAGTTAATGAGCAATAAAGGTTTTGCTTAAGAACTCCAAGTTTAAAATAAACACTGCTCCCACATCCTTCTCCATGTGAGTCATTCCAGGTGCTTACATTAGTTCAAAATACTATTACAAACCTAACAAGCCCTGCAGCACCTTTCTTTGCCCCCGCTATTTCTCTGATTTCCCTGCCTCCTTCCCCATACTCCCAATTGCTTTTTAGTAATGAGTTATTTTTTTTCCCCCCTGAGGGATTCTGTAAAAGAAGCTGGAATTCTTAAACGTGGAAATTTATCAGTCAGAAAGGGCCCACCTTCAGAGTCATTACCTATCCTAATGAGAGGTGCACTGCACCTGTACAAAGAGAACATCCGCAGAGGTTTCCCAAACAATTCTTAACACTCAACTACCTAAGACTAAGTACAATCTGCTAGAAAACTTCACTATATACAAAGCACCTGCCCAAAGTCATCCTGTGAAATACACTTAAGCAACTTTTCAGGCTCCTACGTGCAAACTACACCAGTGAAGAACAGTACTGACGTTTACTGGCACTTTGCGAGCACACCACATATTTTATATGTTTTTAGCAACCAAAAGACTTCATCATTCCTTAATTATTTTTCCTTATAAACTACTACTTCTGCTTTTCTGAGGGAAAAAAAGTTCTAACCTCTAAATCCATGAAGACTTCATCTAGCAGGCTAGAGCATCCTTCCTTGGCAATGATGTCTAAAGTTGCATCCATGCTTGTATGACTGCTTGACAACGTGTCTTCCATTTCAACTTTCAAGTATTTTCTTTTCAGACTGATTATAGATTCTCTGTGACAAATAACAACGCTTTTCGTCATCTGCTGATGCACAAGTTCATTGCTACTCAATTTTGGAGTGCATACACAGAAAGAGACATACTAGACAGTCGTCTTTTTGCAAGGGGAAATAATGCCTGCTGCTTGCTCTGGAAGCCTTAATTTACTTTCCAGCATGATTTTAGTGTGATCAACCAGGACTACTTGTATGTTGGTAACAAACTACTGCTGATTTGTGTACTTGAGAGTGGCAGCAGACATAGATGAACATGGGGTTGGATGGCTGAACACTGAAAACACGAGCAATGAGGATTTCTTTCTCCTGTTGTGGTATTCTCAGAGCAAGCTCTACCTTTACTTTTGCCCAGTTCAGTTCACCTCGATCACACTGCCTGAAGGTGAGCTGAAAGAGATCAAATGTAAGAGAAGATGACAGGCCCCTGGCAAACTAACTGAAATGACTGTCTCAAACTCTGCAAGCTGAAGATCGTGCTGGTTTTGCCTGGGGTAGAGTTCATTTTTTTCACAGCAGCTAGTCTGGGGCTGTGTTTTGGATTTATGCTGGAAACAGTGCTGATAATTTCGGGGTGTTTTAGTCGCTGCTGAGCAGTGCTGACACAGAGCCAAGGCCTCTTCTGCTCCTCACCCCACTGTGCCAGCAGGTTGGCTGGGGGTGCACAAAAAGCTGCGACACAGCCAGGACTGCTGACCCCAGCTGACCAAGGGGATATTCCGTACCACAGGGCATCGGCTCAGCATATAAGCGAGGAGGAACGTTGGTCGGGGGCCGCTGCTCAGGGCCTGGCTGGGCATCAGTCGGTTGGTGGTGAGCAATTGTTTTTCATTTGCATCACTTGTCTGTCTTGGGTTTTATTTCTCTCTTTTTTTTCCCTGTTATTTTCATTCTCATTACAATTTTTTCTTATTATTTTATTTTATTTAAATTATTAAACTGTTCTTATCTCAACCCACAAGTTTTCTCACTCTTACCCTTCCAATTCTCTTCTCCCCCAACCCCCTCAACTCCTCCCTGATGTTGGGAGAGCGAGCAGCTGTCTGGTGCTCAGTTGCCAGCTGGGGTTAAACCATGACAAAGATAATTTTTTCTTTGGCAATGAAATTTTTGGAATTACAAGTGGATTTTCACCCGTGAGGGGCGATGGCTTGGCTTGCCAAAGGCAAGAGCAATCACAATAGCTGTCTCTTAAAAACAGCAATATATTTAACTGTTGTCCGAGTCACCATCCCCGGCTGCATTTAAAGGATGGCAGAGGTGGCACTTAGTGACACGGTTTAGTGGTGGACTTGGCAGTGTTAGTTACCTGTGGGCACTATGGCCTTGAAGGTCTTTTCCAACCTGAACGATTCTGTTCTATTTGTCTTTGTTTAGGCAGCTGAACTATCCTAACTGAAACCCTCTTTGCATACAAAAGAACAGAAGGTCCTGGGAACATGCAGTATCACAAATGAAACACCAATACTTATTTTTCTCCCAATACTGCAAGAACACGCAGACTTACTTAAAGGTTTGACAGTTGTTGATGACTGCAATCATGTATTGAACATAGCATTGAGGATACTGACGATTTTTAAGATGTTCTTCTTTATACAACTGTGCTTCATCTTTGTACCTGTAACATATACAAGGAATGGCACCATTAAACAGACAGAAATCTGTAATAACTTCAGTAAACCTGTAGGACCAAATGCTCCATAAGGGCCTGTCAGGTATTTAGAAGTATTTTACAAAGGGCTGGTTGCTCATGTGATGTTTAGTCTCTCTGTTCTGGGCAGAATCCCACCAAGGAGGTGTTTTCTGTCTGGCTTGTGAGAAAGACAATACAAGTTTGAGATAGAATAGAAAGCGGGACTGACTCCAAAAATTAGAGCACTTTGCAGAAAGGAACTGAAACTGCCACTCACCAGCACAGAAGAACTTCTGCAGTGAAACTGGGGAAGGGAGGAAGAAAGCAAGAAAAGGAAAGGGAAGAAAAGCTTGGTTGGCATGGATGTGACAGGAGAAAGACAAAGCAATAAAGAAACATCCATAGGAAAAACAAGCATTGGAATTGTAGGAACAAAGAGAGGCTGAGGCAGGATAAAGCATTTATAGTTTAAAAGTTATGTTACCTGGTTAGAAATGAATTCATCTGTTGAAGACATAGAAGGAGTACCTTTGTTTTCAAATCTTCATTTATCTGAGCAGCCACCTGAAGATTCTGCTCAAACATCTAAGTTAAAAATAATTTAGTTATCAAGAGAGGCCTTTAACAGTGGTAAACCAAAGACAGAACTCCTGCCTCGTTGGAGACTCTCACTATGACTGGCTCTACATATGCATTTTCGTTTTTGGGGTTCGTTGGTTTGTTGGGTGTGGGGTTTTTGTTTTGTTTTGGGGTTTTTTGTATTTTTTTTAAACAAGCCCAGACAACTGCTGCTGACTAAACCAAAAATCATTACTTCCATAAGCGTAATTAATAAATTACTGACAACCCTTAATGTATGCTGCAGTTCTCTCCTTGCATTCTTTCTTCAGCAAAAAAAGTACTTAATATTTCTAATTCAATAGGAATTTGGCTTTACAGTGGATCAAACTCTCTCCTTGCATTCTTTCTTCAGCAAAAAAAAGTACTTAATATTTCTAATTCATTAGGAATTTGGCTTTACAGTGGATCAAAGTTTTTGGGTCAGCTCCTGCAGATAGTAATGAATAATCTCATAACTCGATTTCCTTCGCTCTCCCCATACATGACAGCAGTAAGTTCACCTTAGTGAAGTAGCAGGGATCCCTACACTTTAGAAACACAACTGGGCACAAGATGGAGGTGGCCTACAGGGAACTGCGTTTGAGAGGAGGGGGACTGGAAAGGAAGGGTACCAAGCCAGGTGGAAACACAAGCTGCTTTTATGCTGAGATGATTTTGGAAGTTTCGCTGTGACACAAATCTCAGCACTGCAGCCTTTGACAGTACAACACCAGAGCCAATCAGCCACCAGTTTCTTGGATATCACACATCAGCTGAAAAGGATTTGGTGACGTCAACCCTGGCACTAATACAAATGTGAAAGAATGTAGCAGAAATCCCGGTATAAAAAAGTGGGAAACACATGCAGGAAGAAGAGACCATTTATCTTTCATTGAAGGTACCTAACACTATAACTGGAAAGAAAAATTAGAAAATGAGCATGATAAGCTGACATTTTCTGGTTGATAAAGATCACTTTAAAAACATCCCATTTCTACTACCAACAACAGGATGGTGCAAATTGGTTTGTTTCTTTTTTTGTGGGCTTTTTTTTTTTTCCTTAAGGTCTTAGAAATAGCCTTATCTTTTCTGTTTTGAAGCTATTTAATAATTTGGACCGGCATCAATGTTAACAGAAGTGGTGTTTAAACAGCGACATTTCTGATAATCAACAGAACTTTTCTTTCCAGTATTAAGGTGTTTGAATAATGAATAATTTATAGGAACAAACAGACACCTAACTATCTTGGCACCACATT